TGTTGGCTCATCTCTTTCCTGCCCGAGAGACCACTAAGTGAAGTTGATCAAAGTATTCCCTTTCCTTGTTCTTACTGTTGTTGTTTTTTTCTTCTTGATTTTTTGGAGATTTTTTCCTGCTTTGTTGAAAAAAACTACTAAAGATGATCCAAAGAATTCAGCCTCAATAGCTGGCATTGTTCCTGCCAGTGCTGAAGAACAGAATTAATGGGCCACGGGTTAAATGTGATAGAAGGAACCCCCTTCTCCCTCGGGTGTGGGCAGCCCTGTGTGAATCTAGCAGCTGTGAAGTTGGATGCACACCTGCTGCAGTGCATCTGCCTCTTGAAGGGTTTCTTGGTCACCCGAGTGTGTCGCAGCAAAATCTGTTGCCAAAAAGTTCTAAGGAAGTGGCTAAGATGCTGTGGGAAAAGAATGGCTCTCGAGAATAACGCTTGATTAAAGGGAAGAAAGAAAAAAGGATAGGAATAAAAAGGTCTCGCAGTAGAGAGAGGTCACCTGGGCAGTTCCGTGCTGTTCTCTGTTGTCTGTTGAGTATGGTTAACTAATAAATGAGGAGATAGCTTGCTGAGACTAAATGATCAAAATAGTTGGGGGAAAAAAAAGCTGACTACAATGAATTACAGGAAGGTCTCGGGATATGAGCTGGAGGGCAGCTGCTCTCGTTCAGGGAAGGTCATTGACTCGTGATAGTTGTATGAAAGCATCAGTTGGGTGCTTCTTGAAGTAAAAGCTAGAGAAGGGAATAGGGAACAAATGGAAAATTCCTGTGCAATGGTACAAATTTTCAATGTGTGTGTAGCAAGAATATCATACACAGCTTGTGCTTTCTCTTCCAGGTGTGTGAATAGATGGCTGACCCGGGCCTGGGGTGTTTGCTGAGATCTTGGCGTGGCCTTTGGGGGTAAGGCAGGCAGGAAGAGAAATGCAGTCGGTTCTGGAGGAGCTGGGGTAATTGCTGCTCGTGTACGTCAGTCTCCTGGTGCTGAAAAGGATCAGAGGGTCCTGTGAGTGTGCGTGTGCCTACTGCTCCACGTTTCCTGTGGGCTGCAGTACAACCTGGCTTCCCAAAACTCGCCGTCTCCTGACAGATGAAGGTCCTGCTATGCTGCGTATGAGCATTTGTGAAAGTAGGGGTTCTGATTTTCAAAATAAATAGGTTCTGGTTTTCAAAATAAACAGTCTTGGGGAACTGGCAACCTCTATCTGGGCCGTTGTGTATGACACACAGCTTGAATTGTGCTGCATGCGAGGCTTTGGGAACCTCATTTCCAGCTATGTTTTAATGAACACATCAGTTCCAAAGCATAAGGAACCCTAGGCCTTAGCTTCTGATTTCTCCAGTGAATATAGCATTTGGATGTCAGGACACTGAAATGCTGGCCATAAGGCCGAGCACTGACCTACCTCCATTTTTGTCCTAACACTCCATTTTCATTTTGTGGAAAACAATGAAGGAAAACACCTGAAATACAAAGCAGCAAACGTTCCCTGGTCATGGTTAGGACGCTGCTGGCATGTGAAGCTGTATTTACAGCTGTGTAAACTTGGCCACCGCTCCCCCCTCAGGCTTCCTTCCCTATCTGCTCTTCCTTTTGGTGATACCGAGGCTCTGTGATCCTCTGGGGACAGGGCTGTGTGGATATGCAGCATCTTCTGCAGCCGTGGCTCGGTCTGACCAGGTTCTGTGTCTGTCTACTGGACCCATGAAGCGAAGGGCATGATTTTAATACATTTGCATAGATGTAGTAAATCGGCGTGATTGGATTTGTGACACGCTAGGGGGATTGTTTCCTCTGGGTTATTTGGTAATGTTTCATTCTTTCGGGGACAGCAAACATCCTCTCAGTTAACCTCCTTCACCTTTGGTGGGAAGTGAGGCATCTCGTGCCGAACGTGATGGAGCTCAGCCCAAATGCCTCTGACAGCTCTAGCAGTTCCTCAGCAGGAGACAGAGAGGAGAGGAGAGCAATTATCAGCCAGAAAGACACTGAATGCAGAACAGATGTGAGTGCTGGGAAAGCAGCGGGACTGTCTTTCATGGCAAATTTACTGCTGCGGTGGGGAAGTCCCATCAGGGCTTTGTGAAAGGCGCGCTGGTCGCCGTTCCTGCTGGTCCATGCCATGGAAGGCTGCTGGTAGCATGAATGCAGCTTCTATTCCCTTTCCTGTAGTATTTGCCTCTACAATTAACATAATGCAGCCTTGAGATCCCCACGCCGTACAGCATCTGCTGTTGTCACCTCTTTCCTACAGAAGACAGGAAGAAAATGGGGCAGAAAATATTCAGTTGAAAGGGAAAGGGGCGCCAGCGATCCTATACATGGACTAAAGGCTGGGAGGGCAGAACTGGAGCAGAAAGTTAGGGGTCAGTGCCCTCATTGAGCTGAAAAAGGAACAGGAGAGGTTTAGCATTTCTTCAGAAAAAGGTCTAATTTTAAATATCCGCCGCTGGAAAATGCTGCTGGATAATTGGAAGAAGAACGTGCCCGCCTGGCCATCTGCTCCGACAGCAGCAAATCCCGGATTGATTTGTGAATGTGATTAATTCAGCCAGGAGGGCCGGATCAAGGGATCAGCTAGAGACAATATTTATACCCTACCCCCAGCTGTGAAAGTGCAGTTGCTTGCTTCGGAAGTACAAAACAAATTGTGCAGCTGTGTTAGTGAAAGAACAAAAATAAAATAGATGCGCTCGCTCAGCAGCCCTTTTTCCTTAGATGTCCCCTTTCCAAGGGCTGTAGGGACAGGCTGACACGAGCCTCCTTTTCCTGGCTGCGAGGTGAAGCCGAGCATTGTCCTTTTACAGAGCTTCTGTGCCTTCATTCCTGCACCGGTGCCGCTGTTGGTCTCCTTGCTGCAGTTCAGTCCCAAGATCGTGAAGTTCCTGGCTCCGTGACCTTGTCCACGTGGACTGGAGAGGCAGACGTGGAGCGTGAGTCAGCCGCCCCTCCCTGCTGCTGCTGCCTGAGGCTGCTGATGGGAGCAGCGCTGCCGATCCTCAGCAGGAGAACGGCACAGGGCAGCCCGAAAGCTTCTGAACGAGCAGAGGGGGTGGGTTTCTAGCGCTGGTAGGGCCTCGAGCTGATTTGGTAATACCAATACAGCTGGGGAGATCAAAAGCAAGACTTTTAGAAGACTTTAGATGTAGATGAAGGCTTTTGGAAATCCTCCTTAGTGTGACTGAAGTGTGTAAACACACCCTGGACCTGAAGGTGCTGTACCCAAGGCCACGTGGGATGCCTGTGGGAGGACAGAGACCAAAGTCTCCCGTGTCCCACGCTGACTCTTTGTTCTCCCTCCCAAATTTTCAAGCCTGCTGCACGTCTGCTGGGACTGCAGGAGTTTCCTGGGGGAACTGTGACGTTCTGATAACCAGGCTGCATCTTCTGGCTGCTTCATGAGTCTTCCTGCATTTGGGCAGAGGCAGCAATGACGTTACATCTGGAGGAGTGAATGCCTCATTGCCCCAGTGAGCAGCCGCCTGACCATACCTGGGTGCAGTCTTACCACCAGCAGTGACTGTGCTCTACTAAAACAATTAGCAGTGGAGCAATTTACAAAGGGGGATTTTGTTTGTTCTCATTACGTGCCAGGTGTGATGCCAGTCTTAAAATTCCAAGCCTACGGTTTCAGCTTCTCCTTATTCAGCCTGAAATAGCAGCATTTTATTTGGATCAGAATTTAAAGCTGTGGACTGAGGATGGGATTTTCAAAGTCATCGCTGCTAGAGCCAGGCTAATGCAGAATGTCTGGAAATTTCCTCTCAATTTGTTAATGAGCAGCCAAATCCCAAAACACGTTAGGAAACAGTTCTTGGGAAAAATAAAAAAGCAATTATTGGTCCCTTTGCCCAGCCATGCGCTGATATTATGCCATGGGCTCTGAGTTGCACAGATCCTGCCGTTAACAGGAGCTCTCTAAAGCAAGAGCAAAACAAAGCACCTTGTTGAAAGGACATTTATTATTTGGCCTTTTAAAGGAAAAGTGTTGCCATCTGACAGCAAATGTTGGAGGGATTGAGGCCACAAGTGGGTTCCACAATGAGACGTGGTGAGATGCCTGGCAGCATCTCTGTGTTGAAATTGAGCTTTAAATGTAATTCTTGTTTCTCTTGAGACTTAGTTTCATATACAAAGGATTTTATAACATTAATTAATGTGGTCACATACATAATGGTAGAGTTTAATGAGCTATTCTAAAGAGTTCGTTATCACAACAGGGAAGGAAGTTTGCCCAGGAAGGGAAGTTGGTGCACTCACAAGTCCAGGGACCTTTTCATCCTGCCGATCAGAGATTGAGCAGTGAACCAGCATCCTACATCCTGATGTCTGTTGGCGCATAAATGAGGCAAGTGAGAGCAGAGATTGTGTGCTTTTGCTTCTCACGTGTACATAAATGGTGTGCAGAAACGTGACCTCTGCCACACTGCGTTAGAGGTACTCGGAGAGTCTCTTCTAAATTGTAGAGAAATATTTTTCTCTCCTACGTACCTGGTAAGTGAAGTTTAAATCTATTGAAGCCAGCACCGTTTCTGTTACTGAGTTCAATAGTGGTAGATTCTTCTTCTGTAACTGCAAAGTGACTATTTTTCCAGAAATGTTATTTGTGGTGTTGAAGAACACGGCTAACTCATGAATTACTACCCTGATAATTCAGAGAAATTGCTCTGTAACTTTCCATCACGGCTCTCTGTAGTCATGACCTGCCAGAGTCTTCTTTCTTCAGTTAAATCTTCCTTATGAACAGACTGTAGCACGGAATTGTGACTGATTATGTGGCTGTTTTCTGGCAGCAGCAAGTGCTTTAGAGGGATTTAAGATGAGGCGAACAGACACTGACATTTTCCCTTGGGATTCCAATCAGGATTAAACTCGATGAGTCCAGACTAAGAGGAAAGTGCATTAAAAGCTGTAGGCCACCTCCAGATCTCCACTGTCTTTCTTGTATTGATTTTTTGGCTGTTTTATGATTTGTGCAAGGAGGAGGACTCGAGAAAGTTCAATCAGAGAGAATTCTGAGCAGATAGTTGGGTGATTTGAGATCCCAAATAAATGCATGAAATGAGAAGCAATTAGGTCATTTTCTACAGAATTTGCATTTCATTTCATTTTTTATTACCCTAAAAGGACACTCTCCAATTCAAGAGCTCCTGCAATGAACAAAAATCTTTGTGGTACAGAATTACTGCCTTCCATTTTTCCTGACACGGTAATTGCAGATGAATGGCACGCAAGCATTAGAGGTAACAAAACGGTGCATTCCTCGAGGCAGAACCGGCGTTAATTGCAAATACAAATACGTGACTGACACACCCTGATATTTCTGCTACGACACGTCCCTGGTAAAACATTCTGTTGTGCACGAACCCAGAACATCATCAGCAACACAGCAGCGCTGCTGCTTATTCAGGTGCAGAACAGTTTGTTTACCTCTTCTGCCCTTGTGCTTCAGCTACCCTGGATCGTATATCCCAAATCGTGAGCATCTGCTGTGTCTGGAGTGCCGTGAAGGAAACCTCTCTGCTGCAGCTCTGGTCAAACAGCCCGAGGCTGCTGGCAGCTCCGTGGTGGTGGTCCTGGGTGCTCCATGACACGCAGCAGCTTGGCAGCATCCTGCGGGGGTTCCTCTGCTTAGTTGTGTGCCCTGTGTGATGGGTGAGCCTGCTGGCTTCTAGCGGGACTCGTGGTGAGCCACATCTCCCTCATGGGCTGTATGAAGAGACCTGGTGCCAAAACATCTCTGGTTCTGCAGGACCTGGCCTAGCCAGGGGGCTCCAGGCACCTGAAACAGGAACCTGTGAAGGCCACGATCTCCAGGCACCTTTTCAAGTAAACAGATGGATTTCTGTGGTCACCGGGGCAGCTCGAGGGCTGCGGGGCGCCCTGTGCTCCCAGCTCTTCCCCTTTCCTGTGCATCTGCTGCGGTTCACTATTAAAACTGTTTTCTGGGGGTTACATCAAAGTTTTGTGGGTCCTAACGGCACTACTCCCTGCGTGGGAATGGCTCGAGGATGAGGCTTTGTGGGGATCAGCCTCACGTCTGCAGCAGCTCCGGTGCTGCAGGGTCCCCTCTTACTGCGCTGGAGGAAACGAAGCTCCTGCTGATTGCTCGTTGTGAGACTCAGTTAATGGTGTGTAAAGCTTTTTGGCAAATGTCACCAGGAAATATTATTTGCCATTTGGCTGCTGCTAATTTTATGGGATTCGTTATTTGCACAATGTGTCTGGAAGCAATGGTTGCAGGTTTGCTTTATTGCAAAGTATTCCTGCTCAAAACTGGAAGGACTTTTATGTGAAGCTGTGGAAGAGAATTAGTTGAGCTTCTCCTTAAACTATTTGTTTTCTTAGCTTCTTGCTGTTTCCTTTCAGAATGCATTGATTGGATAGCAAGAGCTGGCGTTCCTCCTTTCCTGGGCATGACTGGAGCCTGTTCCCAAGCATTTCATCCTAAGGCACGCCTGGCATCCCCCTTGTCTGCAGCCGTACCTCTGCTTGCCGGGTCCCACTGGGGATGTGGGGATGGCACCACGTCAGTTGGCCCCTGGTGCTGCTCCATCCCTTTCCACCTGAAAAGGAAAGGCTCTTTGCCTCGACCTTTGGGCCAAATTCCATTTTCAAACTGGATGTTACTGCCATCGCCTTGTTCTTTGGCTTCGGTGTAGTTATCGGAAAGGAAAAAGAATAAAATATAAATAATAAATAAATGAATAATAAATAAATACAATGAAATAAATAATAAATAAATACAATGAAATCATAAATAATAAATAAATACAATGAAATAATAAATAATAAATAAATGAAAAAAGAAAGAAAATAGAAAAGAAAAAAGAAAAAAAGAAAGAAAATAGAAAATGAAAAGCAAAGGAAAGGTAAATAAAGGAAAAAAGGAAAGGAAAAAAATAAAAATAAATAATAGATAAAAAGAAGAAAAAAGAAAGGAAAATAAAAAGAAGGAAAATAAGAAAATAAGAAAATAGAAAAGTTAAAAAAAGAAAAAATGAAAAGAAAAAATAAAAGGAGAAGAAAAGAAAAAATAGAAGAGGAAAGAAGAGAAGAAAGAAAAGGAAAGAAAATAAAAGAGAAGAAAAGAAAATAGACGAAAAAAGAGAAGGAGAAAAAGAAAAGGTAAAGGAAAATAAAATGAAAAAAATAAAAGTAAAAAAAGAAGAAAAAGGAAAGAAAAAAAATAAAAAGAAAGAAGCAGAAAATAAAAAAAGAAAATAGAAAAGTAAGAAATAAATGAAAGAAAGAAAAAACGAAAAAGGAAAGAAGACAAGAAGAAAGAAAAGGAAATAAAGAAGAAGAAAAAGAAGGAGAAAAGGAAGGGGAAAAGGCAGGGGACAGGACCGGACCCGAGCAGCCCCAGCCCTGCCCATGCCGCGGGCGTCCCGCGGGGGGTGCGGAGCGGCCGGGAGGCGCCACCCCAACCCCCCCCGGCCCCACCTCCCCTCCTTTCCCCTCCCCTCCCTCCCCTGTGCGCTGCCGGCGGCCCCCAGCAGGGGTCGCTGCGTGCTCCGCGGGCTCCCTCCCGGCGGCGAGCGCTGGCGCCCGGCCCCAGTCGCGGCGCGGCGCGGCCCGTCCCGGCCCCGCCATGGCCTTCACGTTCGCGGCGTTCTGCTACATGCTGGCGCTGCTGCTCACCGCCGCGCTCATCTTCTTCGCCATCTGGCACGTGAGTGCGCTCGCACGGCCCTGCGCCCGGCCCCGCTGGCCCCGCCGAACCCCCTCTGACCGCCGTGTCCCTTCTCTCCTTGCAGATCATCGCGTTTGACGAGCTGAAGACGGACTACAAGAACCCCATCGACCAGTGCAACACGCTCAACCCCGTAAGTAGCGCGGGGATCGCGCGGCCCCCTCGGCTCGTACCGAATTTTCTGCCTGCTTGGTGGTTTTCCCCCCCACCCCCCCCCGCCCTCCTACTAACGCTCTTTCAATCTGCTTTCCACCCTTTTCGGCACAAAAGACAGTTGAAAAGGTCAAAAAGATTAAAAGAGTCAAAATTGCGTTAAAGGTGTGTACCGCTGCTCGGTTCGATGTTTTTGGGGCCGCTTCCATGTTGTTAGGATGGTTGTTAACACCCCTCAGGCGTCTCGTTTCTCTTGCCTGCCCATCCGCTTCTGCCTTGTCCGCCGGGTTCCGGCAGCTCCATGAATCCCCTTCCATACCTTGTGCGAAAACGATTTGGCTTGCGGGGAAGCGGGGAAAACTGTTACATGCCCGGTACGCGCATCCTGCGGGTCAGCTTCGGACAGAGACAAAGGGCGCTTCCCCAGCACCATTTATTAAAGCCTGGGAAGACAGGAGGCCGGTCATTTTTAAGCACTGGCTTTGTAAATTCTGCTCTTGCTTGAGGATTTTGGCCGGCACAAGGTGCCAGGCCTTGCCTTCACGTCTTTGTTTTATGTTCCAGCCTCAGGGATGTCTCGGTGTCCTCACTTGGATGCAACTCTGACACTCCTGGGTTTGTGAAAAGCATTTGAGGCAAACTATTTGCTTGCATCTGTACCAGGCTGATAATAAAAGGGGAGCTTGTTAAAGAGCACACAATTTGATAACACAGATTATTTTTTTTGCCCGTTTCTCCTGATTTTGGTTTTGGCTTGGCGTGCCCAGACTGAATCAGTGTGCCCGGGCAGCACGGCCTGGACTTCCTCCTCGTGCTTTAGAGCGAAGGAAATCATGCAAATGGAAAATGAATTTAAAATAGCGGGGGAGGTTGGTTAGGCACAAATCAACAGCGAGAGGGGGCGAGGAGGCGATGGCATCGCAGAGAGGGCCGATGCCTGCCGAGCTGAGCATCTAACAGTTTCCCTTGCTTGGTCTGTTCTACAGTCATTTCTGCTACGGCGTGGGGGAAGGCAAATCCTCATGGCATTTATGCATCATGATCTTGTCACAGACTTCCGAGTACTCTAACGCGCATGTTTACAGCAAGTATTAACCTTCCGCTAACCCGCCTGCATGCGGAGTTCATTGATACGACAGCTGGGTGAGCTGAAAGCCATGGATAAACGGGTGCTGGCTGCTCCCCTGGCAGTAGGTCAGCTGCTGGAAGTGGAGCTAAGATCCAGGCTCCTGCAGGCACCTGGTAAAGGGTCGCTGGATGAACACACCGAGGTGCTTTTCTGGGAAAAGAATCAAAAATCCCGGTAGGAATTGGTGCCTCAGAGAAAGATTAGCTCGAAATAGCAGCTGCTTAGTGTGCTCTCGATGTTGTCTCTTCCCTGCTCCTGCTACAGTAGTGGCTCTTCTCAGCCTTCCTCCCTCACCTGGTGATAAAAATCACGTTCAAATACGATTAAGTCAGAGTTTCTTTGGGACAGGCAGGGAGGCTGAAATGTGGCAGGCTTGCAAGACAGGAATTCTGCTGTGGGAGTCGGCTACAACAACCAAGATAAAGACAAAGATGTTTTGAGATGTGTAGTGAAATAAACTGCAGGTGTCAGACCTGGTAAATCTGTCCCAGCAGGCTGCCAAATGCGTTGTTTTGGGTAGGGCTCTTATTCTGCTATAAAAAATTGCCAAGTTGTGAATGGTAAGTATACCAAGAAGGATTTGGACAAAATATTTACCTGAAACCTTTCCTTTATGACAGCTTATTTGTGTTGATGTTGATGCAAGTTTGTTTTGATACTTCTTGCTTCCAGAAGCAGAATGTAGTAGCAGAGTGGGTGGTGAGAATGTCTGTTTGGGGGTGGGTTTTAGGTTTCTAGGAATCTATTTTGGGGCTTTAAAAGAAGTGTCTGGCTAGAGAGAATGAAAAAAATGCAAAACACGGATACAACGATGCAGCCACCCTACGGAGTAGTCCTACTACCCAGAGTTTAAAGCTCTGAGGTAGAAATGCAGTTTTCCATGAGGAGATGGTGTAGCAATCCTGAGGTGAGAGGTCAAAAGCTTCATCTGCTTCCTTCGGAATTGTGTAATGAAAGAGTAAATGACACCATTTCGGGGTGACTTGTTTTAGAAAGTTTCAGTCTTGTCGTGGGTGTGAGGTTTTGTTGGCTCTCTGCATGCATTTAATCTACGGCTCTCTCCATGCGAGCCCTGTTAATAACACTAATCCCAGCCGGCATTTCATGCTTTCTGTGACCTGCCAGGAATCGATAACCAGCGCTGCAGCCTTCTGCTGGACAGCATGATGCTACCAAGCATGCACAGTAGGTCCGTGTGGAGGAGAGCGAAGCTGGCTCCTGTGCCCTTTAGCTGGGGCTGTTCCTCCCGTGCTGCAGGCAGCGCAGCGCTCGTGCCCGTGCCCACCGATGTGCTCAGCAGCCGTGCTGCCGGCCCGGTGCGGTGCGGCCCTGCCCAGGGCACCACGTCTTGGCAGTAGTTCCGATCCGCACAGTCACCTGTGTGCAAGTATCAAATCAAAACTGCAAAGTAGGAAAGCCCAAAAGATCTTTTTGCCAATCGACCGTTGTGTGGAGCATGTTTCCTGGTGATATTTCTCTGTTGCATGAGAAGAAATATCTCAACGATCTCTCGTGTTATGAAGGTCACTTATAAAGCGAGGAGTCTGTGAACAGTGCCCTTAAGTGAACAGAAGCAATAAAGATTTCTTTATCTGAGCATTTCATTTGGTAAAATTTCCTTCTCGGTTTATGATTACCAGGTGAAAACAGCAAGGCACATGCTGCTAGTTGCTCTTTTCACTGTCTGCAGTCTTGAGCTTGTTAGCGTTTGTTTTAAGTGATAATTTTTAAGCAATAGCTTACCTCCAAAATAGATTAAACAGCACACGTTTTGCTTTGAGTAATCGAAATGTCTAACTCATCTTTTTCTTTTCCAGCTTGTACTTCCAGAGTACCTCATCCATGCATTCTTCTGTGTTATGTTTCTCTGTGCAGCAGAGTGGCTCACACTGGGTCTCAATATGCCTTTGTTGGCTTATCATATTTGGAGGTAATATTGATGAGTCTGGTATCTGTCCTCATGGCAGTTGTACCTCATTCTCCTGTCGCAGTGCTTCCTGTTGAGTGTTCTGTGTCTTTGGCAAATGAAGATGCTTTTTGATACGCTAGCGAGAAAGTTTACGTTGTGGCTATAACATAAGAACCATCGCTTTGCTTTATCACTTTTTTTTTAAATTATCATTATTCTCTTGTGCTGTGCAAGAGCCGTGCCGTGCACATTAATGGTGGCCGACACGTCGGGGTGTGGACGAGCAGTAGGAGTGGCAACCCTGCCTTCTTCCTACCAGTCAGATGCGAGCACCGCCTTTCCCTCTGCTGTGCAGCTGCGCAGGGAGCTGCCGGAGGGAGCGGATCCGCTCGAAACACAGCCCAGTGGAAGAGTTTTCCCTGCCTGGCTTCCCTGTGCTGGTCCTGGCACCAGGAGCTGGAGGGGTCGGAGTGCTGGCTGTGCAGGGAGCCTGCTTTTCGTGACATCTGTAGGGTCATTTTACACTGACCTGTGCGAGAAGTCCCTCAGCGTGGCCCCAGCATGCCTTTTATAACGAGTAGAGGCTGGAGGCTGCACGGGGTTACACCGCGGTCTCTTCTCCACCTCTAAACCCTTTGCTAAGGAATCCCATCCCAGATTTATAAAGTGGTGCCATTTCCTTGCGGTGTACCAGGCTTCAGCTGGGTTTACAGCCGAGGTGAGCTCTCGCAGCACCATCTGTAAAAGCTCTCTGATGGCCCTGCTTGTTTCGGGGCTCCCAAAGCTGCTCTTGCTGCTGGCAGCCTCCTGCGTGGAGCTGATGGACCTGGCTGGGCTGCGAGGGGGGGATTCCTGGTCCAGTTCTGCGGTCAGGCAGTGAGTGGGGTGCAGGAACCCGCGTCTCCCATCAGCGGGAGCAAACTAATTAGCAAACTGATTGTGTGTCGCTTCCAGGTACATGAGCAGGCCCGTGATGAGCGGCCCCGGTCTGTACGACCCTACGACCATCATGAATGCAGACATCTTAGCCTATTGCCAGAAAGAGGGATGGTGCAAATTAGCATTCTACCTTCTATCTTTTTTTTACTACTTATATGGGTAAGTTTTTTCCTCTATCCTCCATCTCATTGTTAGTCTGTAGTTTTTCGGTGGGCTGAGTTCACAAGAGACATTTTGTACATGGGAATATATCAAATACCAACTTCTCTGGAAAAAAAATAGAATACTGTGATATTTGTCAAAGTTAAAGGTAGAAGAGTCATTTTGAGTAAAAAGGGGTGGGAGCCACAAAACCTAGTGCCACCTCCTTGTACTTTCTTCCGCTTCTTTCAAGCCAGAAGCGGCTTCCAGCCTGTAGTAACGGAGTTTTTACAGGACTCCCCGTTACAGCATCCCTTGGTCCGGGCACATCTGGCTGTTCCCTGTTTGTGTCTCCCTTTCCAGTGCCCCTCACGTGGTTGTGACTTTGTGTGAAATTAAAATGTTCGGTCACAACCCACATAGCTCACACAGATTTGTTCCTCGGGAGAATACTTAAGACAGTGTAATTAAATGTTTTTTCAAAATCATGCATCTGAATGGTTTTATCTTATTTTCTTTCCAGCATGATTTATGTTCTGGTGAGCTCTTAAGAAGACATTCAGCAAGCTTTGTTCCATTTAAGTGCATGCAAAAGCCATGAAACATGGATTATTTACAATGAGGCCGTCTCACCAAGATTAAATACGGAATCCGATGATTGCATTTGCATTAGAAAACAATGGCTCCCCTATTTTTAAACTATTTCCACATTTTATACTTGTGGAAAGACTGTTTTCTTATATTTTACTGGGACACTGAAATTAAAGAATTACATGTACATTAGTATAAGGATTACTGGGTTTTGAAAAGTTCTGACTTTGCACTCCATAAGGAACAGCCTTCGAGCGGGCGTTTGTCACTGTGCGGGGTTCTTTGGGCTGGGCTTCGTGGACTCGCGATGTTACCTGTAGGGGATGGCGGTCTCAGGAGCTGAATTCCTGGGCACAATTGCAGAAGCAGTAGTTCTGTTTTTCTTTCTTTTCTCTTTTTTTTTCCCCTATCTGGTTAATCTTTCCCTGTATATGCATGGTTCAGAGACTTCTGTATTTTCACCGAACACTAGCCTTGCTTTAATCACAGGCGTTTGTTGTTGTGATAGGAAATGTTGAATTGTCCACAAAGGAATGAATTTAGATTTTTTTTTTCTTAAAGTCTGTGCAGAGACACTAAGAACAAATTTATTAACAAATGGACAAACCTACATTTATTATGTTCAGTGGTGAAAATACACTTGGGTTTAAGAGATACTGCAGTCCTTTTCAAAGGAGAAAGTGAGATTGTGAAACTGCCCTGCTGTTCCTTAGTGCAATAAATAAAAAAAAGTCTCAAATTCAGAAATACTTATTTTTACTTGTTTTGGTGCCTTGTTTTGTTTGTAAATTGAACAGATCCTCGGTGTAGTCATCTGTTTTATGATGAATAATTGCATTACCTTTTAGAAATAGAACACAGAATTGAGTTACGTCTGGAAAAAGGAAGCTCTGATTTCCTGTTTGTTTTTTTGTTTTTTTGTTTGTTTGTTTTTGTGGGTCTGCAGATAAACAGTGGGGAGGATGTTTCAAGTAAACTGGTAGGACTGCATTGTAAATTGTCATTGTGAACAGCTAACTAATTTAGGAGTTATAATTAGGAATCTTTCACTTGTTTGGGAGAAAAATGAAATAGTGTCCCAATTTTAGTAAAAAAACATTTTTGTATAAACGGTTTACTTGTTCCCTTTGTCTCTCAGGTGTTAGATGTAATAGAAAATTGTAAGAACGGCTTAGAGCAGAAATCTGTATAGTCCAATACTGACGTGCTGGGTAGTGGGAGAATGTGTTCAGAAACCTGTGTGTTACAGATGTCCTGAGCTGGAGGTTTGGCATCTTAAACAGCCCTTGAATAATTTTCTGTTAATTTAGTTGCTTTAGGAGCAATTTTATAGCCCAGGATGAAGATGCCCCAAAAGTCAGAGTTCTGTAATGGAATGACTTTAAGTTTAAAAAAGAAACCAAACCACCAGAGAAACAAACTAAAAAACTAACAAAAAAAACTTCCTAAAAATGACATGTTAATTTCATTTGATGCCTGCAAGTTCTTGTTTTTGAGACATAATGAAAATTTTGCCTTTTGTATCTTATGCTGGGTGTGATCAAATAGACATTTGTTGTGTCACCTTTCAGAGCAGGGAAGCCTTAACGTCATCTCTTGGCTGGCGGGCCTTCTGCAGCTTTGTGGCTGTCCTTTTTTTCCTTTTTCATTTCCAAACTGGAGGAGACCAGAACTGTTGGCGTCACACAAGCTTTGGGTATCGTGGGGATTTCGAGGGGCAGTTTCCTGCTCTCTGCTTCTGGTTTCCTTTTTGTAATGGACTGCTGGGGGATTAGATCTCAGCTGTGAGACCTTCCAAGTCTCTGTCCTGTGATAATAGATACCTGACAGCTTGTTACTGTGTATAGAAGATCATTTTTCTTATGTTTCTTCTTTGCCTTTATTGAAACTTCACTCCCCATGCTTTAGCACTGCAAGGTTTTCTTTTTATCATCCCTGAACTTTTGCAACAGTTGCAGGTTTTATCTCATTCCTGTGTTTTCGCCATTATCTTCCTTATGTAACACTGATTTTGAACAGTTAGCTAAGAAGTTTTTGAATGACTTTTTGGAAATTCATTGATATTGTTCCTGTTGGATCATCTTTGTTTCCTGCTGCTTCGCTCGTTCAGAAACTGCTGTAAAGATGACTCAAGCCTGCATCAGCAAAGCTAAATAACCCTTCCTTGTGTATGTTTATTTGTTATTGAACTGAGTTAGTGGCTGCCTCATAGCCCCCAGCTCCCTGTGGCCTTCTAAAAAGGACTGTAACTCCCTTGGTACTTGGGTGAGTTCAGCTGGAATAAACAACACAGAATTTACACAGTTCAAACTGATAGCTTGAAAAACACAGCTAGCCGTGGAACAGCTTTAGAGACGTTAAACAAAATGTCTGCAAACACTTGCACTGTCCTGGGGCTGAGTCCCAGAGTACGACCCAGTGCAGCCAGCTGCATAGAAGAAAATGATTTCTCCAGTAAAAACAAAACATAAGGCTTTAGACACTCTTGAAGTAGATGTGTAAGCATAATCCTGAATATAGGAATCCAAATATGAAAACAGGAGTTAACTTCCTAGTGCAGATCTACTGGACAACCTGAACTTACAGCTAACTCTGGGAGCAAGAGGCTTACTTTGTCTGGGTGCTGTGTGTAAGTACGTGAGAACTGGAGAATTTCAATAATCTCACTAAAAGGCCTTTTAAAGTTTGGAAATCAAAAGTGTTATGAGAATATGGCACAGAGAGCTGAGCTGTGATCCCTGCCAAATAAAGCATCCTTCAGAGAGCGCTGTTTAGAAAGTGTTTTTAGCACTTTTATTTTTTAAAAGATCCCTGCGTGCTGGCAGAAATCCGGCTTCTGGTCCGTGTGAAAGTTCTCTGTATCCAGGGATGCAAGCCCCAGATCTGGATTTTACCCGAGTGGTTCTTGTGAAAGGAACTGCTGCATGCAGAAAAGCACATACTACCCAAAGTACTTGGTATTTCACCATCAAAATGTGGATCTGGTATTTGTTTTTTGGAGTTCCACAAGGCCAAAGATTAGGGAGAAAATAAGTAACATCTCTCCTCCATCAGCAACTTTTCTGATGACTCACCTTAAAAAATAATTTTTCTGGTATCTGTTTGATCACTGGGGAGCAGTATGAGGGAAAGAACAATGCACATTACATAACTTGTAACTTTAAGAATTCCTGAAACTTTGTTAAAATACACTACAAGCATCAGCGTCCCTGGGGGCTGCAGCTGGGGGGCTACAAAGTGACCCTTGGAGTGGGACAGCAGCACCACGGGGTGTGCTAACACTGGGTCACAAGGAAGGAAGCGGGGCCTGGCAGGGCTCACAGAAATCCTGACAAGGAAACAGGAGGTGGGTGCAGAAGGGTCAGGAGGCTGCTTCTCAGAGAGAAGGCCCAGCAGGGGTGCTGCAGGCTTTCTTCCCAGAGCCACCACTTCCCTCACAGAGTGCCAGAGGGCACCTGAGCACTGCAACAGATGATCAGCGCTCCCTCAGAACAGGACACGGTTAAATGTTCTCCTCTCTACTCAACTTCTCTGGTCTTTGAGTGGATCTAGTTACAGATGACTGAGGTACCCTGCTGCAGGCATGTTTCTGGGAGCCTCGCTCTAGCCTACAGAGGATTATATATTTACTTTTTGGCTTTTTTTTGTCTAAAGAGTTGTGTTACTGCTGTGTTTTGCATCCCTTCCACTTGGTAACCACACCGGAGCAGCCCTGGGATGTCACAACAGCCCGCGTGCCTGCTGGGTGGCAGCGGCCATGCCGGCTGTACCAGCTGATGCCCAGCACGACCCAGTCCAGGTGTGAGCCATTTCTGCAGCAACAAGAAGCTCATTGGGCGCTCCAGCCCCCAGCACAACACCAACAAAAAAAAATACACCTCCATGCATTTTGTAGAAGACAAACATCTGCTGGTTAGAAAGATGTAAGAGAACCAAAGCAGGAAGATCAAGCAGATGTCCAACCTGTGAGGAGAATGGGGACACCAGAAAGAGGAGCAATGGCTCAGCAAGCTGTAAGCAGGGCTAAGGACGAGAAATCAACAAGTTATTAGTGATGGTGAATAGCAGACAAGCAGGACAGCTGCTGAATTCATTCTAGGGTTCACAGATCTACGTAGCAGACCCTTCACCAAATCCTGTTTGAAAGCACTGGCCCCGTCTGCTGCAGCTGCTCCTTCAGAGGGCTGCCTTGTGGGAACGGGGGTGCAAAGTGGGTTTGTTAATTAGGAATTAAGAGGGGAAGGCAGCTACTTACGGAGACACAAGTGTCCAAGGCCACTGTAACAGCTGGAAGAGAAGAGGATTTAGGCTGTAACAGGCTGTGGTACACTGCGACACCCAGAGCCCCCTCAGCATGCTGTGTGAGGTACAGGTCTTGCCTTAATATAATCAAGAAGATCAGTGGTACAAGGAAGTCAGAATTGCTACTATTTACAAGGCTAAATCCCATCTATTCTTCATAGCTTCCTTTATTACTGTCTTTTTTCCCTGGTTTTTTTTTTTTTTTTTTTTTTTTTTTTTAAGATAGTATGCAATTTTAAAAGTTCGCCTTTGTTCTTGGTAATAGTCCCAAGGGCACAGGAAAGCAGAAAAAGGCATCAAGAGGAACAAATCTCAGTTTGCTTTAAATCCTCCTCCAGATTAAGGCTTCAAAAACCGTCCTGAGCTAATGATAGCAGGCAGGCTTATGCACCAGCAGGAAGCCCAGGACGCTCAGTGGATGTCTGCCTGGGGAGCTGGCAGCAGGATCTTTCAAGAAACATGGATCCAGGAAAGCTCTATCCCAAGCTCAGCTACAGATGCTGTAGGATACAGCTTTAAACCAGTTTTGTGCAATTTCGAGGAGAATTTTGCACTGTTAGAACCCACCGAGCCTCTGGTAAACAGCCCGGGGCTACATTATCCTCTGCCATCTGCTTCAGTTCTCAGCTCTCACCGTACAGCGGATACCCAGCTCCTGAGCTCCTCCAGAATTCTGCAGCACTCGGCAATGTCAGGAGTGTCCCCGTGCACGCAGATCCCGTGCTGCTGGTAGGCATCTATAAGGTTTGGTACTCGGTATTTTAGGAGTTTTCCTCTGGTACAAAGCACAAATCTATCCCATGTCCCATAGTTCTTCAGTTCATCTGCCAACAGATTCAGACACTTGCAAATAAAAGCCTATCAAGCTTAGGGATGAACAGATAAGCTTCTTGGTACTGATCCCCTTGTTTAATCTTCAAAGTCCAGACAACAGAAGTTACCATTTCTGCTTTAAGCGGTGTTTACTTCTATCAAGTCTTGCCTATGTCTGCCTTCAGGTACTCCATCCACGAGAGGAATTTCCACAGCTCAGAGGCAGCCCTGAGACAAGCCTCACTAGAGATCACCACTCTATAAATAGCCCTGTTAACTCCTGCTAGCTTAAACACGATTCCATCCCATCTCCAGCTACAATTGTCCCAACAGAATTTTCTTGCTATTGGTCTCCACTGGCCTTTACAGCTGAATATTAACACAAATTTTTTACACAATCTCACTTTTCTCTGGGAAGATGAGATAACATCATGGACACGTACAGGGACATTGATAACATCCACCGTAAGAGGACAAATAAAGCACCACAACTTCTCAGTCAAGCTGTGTTTCAAATACACAGCACCTGGATCCTTGTGCCCAAGTAAGATAAACAGCAACGCCAGCAGCCTCCAGGCTAAGTCAAGCCTCTGGCCTGTAAGGAGGAACTCGTGCTTTCAGTTTACCTGCAGGTTGTTCTTACCCCTTCCATGGAAATGAGAGGCACTTCTGCACTGGTCAGAAGACTCACCGATATCTTGCTGAAGATTCCTTCTAACATCCTTAAACGTGCAACCTAAAACACATTATGAGTGATGATTATGGCCCCAGGTAAGTGACACTTATGAAATGGCTGCTACAACCAAAGAACAGAAAACGGACACCAAAGAAAACACCAAAGCCACACTGCCAACGACAGTCCTTAGTTTTGCAAGTGGATCACTAGTGCAGAAGACAGTTTAAACACCTTCATCTGCTTAACACTGCATTATAATTGGATTTTAAAATCTGCCCAAGGTTTTAAACTGTTATGCATCCTCCAGATGAAAAGCTTGGGATATTAAAATCAAGGTACACATGGCAAAAATGCGGAAAAACACTCCTCCACCCCCACCCACTTTCCAAACCAATGAATAAAAGGACTGGATAGGGATCACTGCAGAGCTTTATGTTGTCTAGTAGGAAAATAAATTCTGAACCATTCTGTAACATCGGGAATCACACTGAAAATCCTTCTAGTTTAATAATCTACAGATGACAACCTCAATTTTTTAAACTCAAGTCATGCTACTAAGGCTTTTTTGCAACCCCTACAGAACTCTACCCTACAAAACTCACAGCTATTGTTTAGTTTGTGAGAGGTAATTGCTCAAAGTATCTGCACTGTGTCCCTTGTCTGTCTCCTTTCCTCAAAAGATTGTTTTATCTCTTGAAACATCTTCTGAGAACAGGAAAGCAGAGTCCTGCAGAAGAGCTTTATGGGCAGGGCTATGACTGGAGGTTGCTCAGGCAGCTGAACATGGCAATGCAGCTGCTTTCAGCATAAAAGTGTGCTCAGTGTTCAAGTGTTAGAGGGATTCTCATCAGCACTGGACATCACCTAATTCAACCCAACATTATTCAGCATTTCTTTTCTAGATCTTTAGTGTGGGATCAGTGCTAGGCTTGCATTTCTTGGGCTTGGTTCTTGATCATTAGGTAATTGCTTTAAATGAAGGGGGGAAACCTCATGTTGTCACCACCAGCTGTCCTCATCTCTTTTGTGAGCACAGCAGATTCACTACAAAACAGTTTGGGTAGTTAAAAATATAGTGAAAACCTGTATGTTTATTTTATATTATGGCCATAGTAAGCAAACAATAATGCAACCCAGATACTCAGGGAGGTGGTACAGAAGTGTCAGCACAGCAAGTAACTGTAATTTAAGGCAGATATAAAGGAATTATTTGTTAGAGCAGTCTTATTTCACTTGTGTTGCTGCTCATTATAACCAGTGAAAATATTTGGCGTTTTAACCTTACTGATAGTGGAAGACAGACATCACTCTGCTAGTGAATACTGCATTAGATATCCTCCAAATTGGCCTCAGTATTTTAAAACATTTATTCCAGTCATCGATTGCAAAATAAGTCACTCTGCCAAATAAACTGAAAGCAGAATTTAGGGGTACAGAGCATTACACCTCTTCAGCTTCAAACACGCCTGCAAATCCAGCAAATGCTCCTTACCTGGAAGGGAACACACTCCCAGGAGCTTAGAAGAGTAGATGGGAGACAAAGACAACCTGTCAGGAAACAAAAAAAGGAATCAGAAGAGAACATTTTGGTACCTTGAAGGGAAGTAACTCACCACCAGACACTCGTTTTCTGTGGGACCACGAGAAGTTAACTATGCTCGACAGCGCTGTAAGAACGAAACAGGGTGAAACAGTAGTTACAAGTCCTCACAGACAGTTTTCAGCAGGAACTTCGTACAACACCAAGCGAGGGAACCCGGCCCCTTCTGCCCTAACGGACCCCTCAGGGGCCGCCTGGAGCTGACCAGACCCCTCCCAGCCCTGCCCCAGGACCGCTGCCGGTCATTTTAGCAGCCTTGTCATCCGACGAGACCCAAAAGCCAGCCTGCATTGCGCTGGCCTGGTTGCGGTAGGGGATAAATGAGGGGCTCATCCCGGGTCCGGCCCCTCAGCAGCTGTCCCGCCCTCCGCCCCCAGCACAGCCCCCCCCGTCCCGCCCCTGCCTCACCGCCCACAAAATGGCGGCGCTGCCCGCCCACAAAATGGCGGCGCCCTTGTGGAGCTCTTCCCGCCCACCCGCCGAGCACCTCATTGGCTCTCTCTTCCCGCGCTTCTTCCAGCGGGGCTCCGCCTCTCTCGCCAGGAGCAGCGCGCTGATTGGCGGGCGGCCCTGGAGGGCTGAGCTGATTGGCTAGGGGCCGGGAGGCGGGAAGAGGGGGCTCGAGGCTGACGTGGTGTGAGGCAGAGGGAGCCTTGGGCGTGAAGGGTGAGGTGAGGGTGGTGTTCTCGTCCCTATGGCTGTTTCCAGCGTCGGTTTTCTGACAGAAAAATGGGCTGGAATGGGCTCTGCTTCCATGTGGCTGCTGCCCTGGCCACCCAGGAAGCTGTTCTGAGGGAAAAAGGGGCCTTGGCCCTTCTGTCCATCCCCACTTGGAGGTTTCCAGAGCTTTCTAGAAGGAAGCAGTGTTTGCCCTTTTTAATTAAGGGCCAGATGTCAGATATCCTTGTAGCAGTTTGACCTGTAGGGCCTTGGGATGGCCAGACCTCACTGGTGTGTTGTTAGGAAAGAAAACTGTAGTGATCCTGTGAGATCTGCTGCTAGAAAACTCAGATTTGGAGCAACTGTCATGTCCACGTCCTGCCCTTGCCACATTCCACTTTTCTAATGTGTAAATGATAATTTTAAGAGCTCTCTGTTGCCCACACTTGAGGCGTTTTGGCAGTCCTGTTTTTGCAGCATTTCAGCAAATGAATCAGGAATGCAGGCCTGTTCATTAGCAGGAAAAATGCATAAATTGGTATTGATTAATTTTGTTTTAGACAATGGGGTTGAAGCTATTTACAGTATATGCTTAGATATGTGGAGAGCTGTGCTGTGAAGGGGCCAGATGTGAATTGTGATTCTTTGGTCTTGAAGTATTTCAAAGATGATGTTTATAGGCAAAAGAAAGGCTGTGTCCAGGCTCCTTGAGTAGTTTGATTTTGGTGAGATTCCCAGCAAGGCCAGAGCAAGCCCTCCAGCTGTGGAGTTGTTAGATTTTAGTCCTGCATTAGCAACATTAGTTCCACAGCCTGGGGATGTTAATGAAACCTGTCAGAGAGGGATTGCAGAAACAACTCACTTGGTATGGCAGGATTTGGGGAAGGTTTAGGGAACGAAGAAAAGGATGATGAGAGGATCAAGTAGAGGACCCGTTCATTGAAACAGAGAATTTGATAGCACATGTACAAAAATTGCATTAGTGCCTGTAATGTAGAAATAAAAAAATGCAGCTGTGGAGGTTGCTGACTAAGATGATAAATGAGAAGAAATACAGCCTAAGAAGTGAGGCAACATGAGAAGAGCCAGCCACCGTAGCTGCAAACATCATTCTAACTTCTTGGCGACTGTGTGAAGGAACAGGTATGTTGTTTGCTTCTATTCACTATGTTTTTAACTTTGTTCCCCTTAGAGACCGTTTGTAGCACTCGTACTGTTTTGGTATATGTGAAATTCTCCACATGTTTTCTATTGCTTTTGCCTATTCCTACGAAAAGTATTGTAGATTTTAACTCTGAGGATTATATGAAAGCAATGACATGAGACTAACAAATGCAAAAATTGCAACAATGCTGATGCTCCTGGTTGTTCTTTGAGAAGATCAGAGGAATTCTTTGGGACTTGGGTACCTTCATGTGGTAGAAATCAGCATAGCATTGCATGAAACCTGAAATGGCAATAACAGGTGGAATGGCAATGAGTCTGCAAGATGTGGGGACAGAGCTTGGGTCTGTTGTGGCAGAACTGAACAGGTCTAGTATGTGAGTGTGAAACCTGGGGAAATGTGGGATGGAAAAATTAAAAACAAATCCTGAGGAGATCCCCTGAGATTCCTTATTACCCTGGGCATTTTGCAGCAGTAAATGATAACTGTTATGTTTATTAGCTGACTACTTGTTAAGGCTATTTGTTTGTGTGTTTTTATATTAAGCTGTTCCCAGAACATCAAGTTATAGTGTGCTAAAACATCTAAGTCATCCTTTTGTGTGATATTATTTTATAGGAATGACTAACAGCTGTTAGTCTGCAAAAAAGTATCCTTTTGGCATGTGAAAAGGAACTCATCAGCATCAAGGCTTTACCTTCTGGAAATTTCTGCCAGTTTCTAGGACTGGAGGTCTGTGCAAAGTGAAGAAAAACAGTCATGGGCATAGGCTGAAATACAGCGCTTGGAGGATTTAGTCTTCGCTCACTTTCAAGTAGGGATTTTATCTTACCTATGTTGAGCTATACCAGATATACAATGGGCATGTAGTAGCACTCAAACAGTTTTTCTTTGCAAGCACGGAAAATACCAAGGTAAGGCAGTTGTTGGTAAAGGCTGATATTTTTGTGGTTCTGTTTGCCCGCGTTCATTTATCAATCTTTTGTACCAGGTATTGCATTATCTATATGTTGCCTCTATAGGTAAGGTTTATATCAATAGTTCCTGAAAAAAATTCAAGTTTTTTTGTAGTCTACATGAGTTGCATTATCCCAGGGTCTCATTATTATTGCATTATATGTTCCTGATGTTCTTTAAATTTTGAGAAGAAAAAACCTCGACAAGAACCAATAAGAATCTGACCGGTAAGTTTGTGGCTGCTCAGGGGTTTGCTTGCTTGATTATTGTGAGAATAATGCTTACCTTACGTGGCACAACAGTTGTACTTATTGCTGCATCAGAGGCACCTTCCCAGAGATACTAAAAATGATATGCAGTGGGGTAGATTGGCTAGTGATTTTTTTCCAAGCAGCCCTATGTCCTAGGCTGTAAATACACGTACGTAGGATGGGTTTGTGGTCTGGCAGCAAAATGTGTATACAAAATTTGTAATGTAAGAAAATGGTGGATGAAAATCCAGGCAGGTCTGGTGGGTTAGCTGGGACTTTTCTCATGGACCCCATCACAACTGCTGTGAAAGCAGTTCTCTACAGGTCTGTTTGGGTTTCAGGTCGTTTTTATGTCTCATTTCTCAGCAAACAGGCTCCTGAGGGCCAGCTGGCTTTCAGAAATTACTCTGGTTTAAATAGACACCTGGCTTTCAAGTCTGTGCAAAAGACTTTCAAGCAAAGCAAAGACAAAGCGATGGTGCCCTGAATTTATAGCCTGTCATATGGGTGAAGTGTGAACATTCAGAATGGCAGAGAAACATGGTTAAACCTGACCTGGCCTTGTTGTCGTTGGGTCAGGGGATGAGCACGTATCCCCAGGGACACTGGAGGGGTTCATAAATGCACTATCTCTTGTCTGCTCTTCTGCACTTAAGTTTCCCAGACAAAATAAATGATTGATGTGCTGCAGGTAAAAGCCTGGGAGCGAGCTAGTATGAACTGTGGGGACAGTCAGGAAAAAAAGGAGTGAGGGAACTTGGTGTATACAGTCTTAGCACGTATCACATTCAAAGACAAACCTTTAACAAACAAGTTGTGTTCTTTCTCTGCAAAGAGCTGAAATGAGGCCTGAAATGGCCAAAACATCAAAATAATTTTGCAAAGGCCTTACCAATGAAACTGATTATTCCAAGCAACCCCACGCAGTGCCAAAGACTTGTTAGTCACCTCTCGTTTCATGTGTGTTTCTGGAAGTTGTGTTTTAGCAGAAGTAATTAATACAGGCAGTGTTCCAAGAGATGCACTGTCATGTCTCTGGGAGCATTCCACTGGTGATATCACCAGAAGATCCGGTGGGGCATCATTTCAATTTTTTGTATTGGTTTTGGAGGTTTAAAAAAAAAAAAAATAGGTGGAACAATTTCAGCATTTTGAAGCATCTTTTTTTTTCCTTGATTTTATGTGTTATGTTTGCTGAAAGCTGAGCATCGCTACGTTGCGAGTTTTGCATTGCACCTCACAATGAGGAAATAAAAGGAAAATTCTTATTACATGATATAAAATTGTGCAATGTTTGGAGAAACAGCCCTACCTTGAGACACAAAAGAAAATCTAGAATTGTGAGCACAATTTTGGGAGATTCTGTATGTTTTCCACATCATTACTTAGTTCTCTATCTATGCTTGGCTATGTTTTGTTAGGATTTTATTCTAAAACTGTGCCAACAAAATACTTACTGATAGAAATACATCTGAATGGTGATTGTCCGGTGGTGACTGGCTCCAAGCCAACATGTTTGCTGAAGGCAGATTCTCTGCAAGATATGTTATTTCAAAATATTGAGCAACTACCCTCCTACTCACAATTTTTTGAGGGAACTTTTTTTTTTTTTCTGCATGTGCCTGCGGTTTCTCGCTGCTTTCCATCACAACCCAGACAGCTCCGTGGCAGCCAGCTGGCAGGGAACACGGGGCTCCTTGACTGGCCCTCGTCTGTCGGTGAGGCTGGAGCCCCCTGATTGCTCCTGGAGCTCTGAGCAAAGATGCCCTGCTGACTGAGAGCAGTTGCTGGCTTGGGAAGTGCCTCTCTTGTGAGTATGGTGTGGTGTGCTGCCATGGCCATAGAACTGGATTTATAGGGTATTTTGCCAGGGTAGTACCATGGCGCTAGGAGCTAAAAGAAAGACAGAGGGGGTTAAGCTCTGTCTAGCCCTATAAATCCTGCTTGTCTGTTGAATTAAAACCAGAGCTGAGACTTGGCTCTGAAGCTGGTGATAAAGAACAGTGTCGTAGGGTAACTGCTGAGGGCACAGGTAAATAAAATACTATTCTCCACAGCTTTCTGATGGTTACTGCACACTGCAAGTGGAGGTATCTTCTGCTTTTCTAGGCAGGCTGCAGCCCTTGCTTTTGTTGAGACAAATGCCATAAGTGTCACTGGGATCAGGATATTTTTACTTGCAGTCTTTGTGGCAAATCCGTTTATTCTGGAATGAAATGTGAAGTCTTGTAGAGATCCAGAAAGGTTCTAGTGTTGTTTGGAGTAGAGGATTGTCCATCCTGTGCAGTTGACATGAAGTGGTGTGTATTTTGGTTCTGCCCTTCTTTTACTGCAGTTCTCTCTTTTTTTTTTTTTTTTTTTTTTTACAGTTTGTATTAAATACATAAAAATTGTACCAACTGTGGTAAAGAAAGCTTCCATAATTTAAAAAAAAAAAAAGGAAAAATTTCAGTTTCTATCACTTCTTCCTGCAGTGTCTGTTTACAACCTTGAAGAATTTATTGTAAGAGAAGTGATTATTTAAAAGCAAGATCTTCCCCACTGGATGATTCACTTTGTGTTTCACATTGAAATTGCCTGTTCAATTGCACAAAACCTAAAAATAATTTTAATTCAGATTATAACAGTGTGGTTTGATTAGTGTTTGAATATATGAGCCCTACCAGAAGACGAGTAATAACAGCATTTATGGGCAACAATACAGCAGAGGAGGCTGCGATGATTTTATCTTACTGCTCCGAAGCAAGTCACTCGTGGATCCCTATACCACGCTGTGTGCTGCAGCACGCTTGCATGTGCAGTTACTGGTTTTACAAGGCATAAAGTCAAATTTGCAACAAATACGGTGTTGCCTGCTGAGCATCTATTGTTGGTTTGACATGGGAGTATTTTTTTTGTTCCAAGTTATATGTGGCCATGTAGATTTTTGTTCTTTTCAAGATGGGGCCTACTTGTTTTTTATTACCGTTCAAATCTAATCCCTTCTTATCTAACAACAATTACTGTAAAACCTTTGGAGGGTGGAGACTCAGTTTGCAAGCACAATGATTTGAATTTTTATCCTTTTTTTTTTTCTGCATTTGTGGTTTTGATGAATGTGAAGTTTCCAAAGAATGATCTAAACAGGACGCAGCAGTGACTGTAGGGAAGAACAAAGGTGTGAATGAAGGCCAAGTCTTCAGCTGAGATCACATTTCAGGTCACATTTGGTGACTTCTGGTTTATACAAACTTCAGATTCTCCCTAGAAATTCTTATTTCTTCTTTTATCTGGTTTATAGATGATTCGCTCCTTTTTATCGCTGATTCAGGTAATGTAAATGTGAACTTTTAAAATTGACATTTCCTTTATGGTAATGAGGATGAAACAGAAAATATTGTATATGGATGAATTTGTTCTTTTTGACTGCATTTCCCAAATGGCTCATAAGAAAGCTAAAATGGCAAGCCTGAGGCTAGGGCTCTTGTGTGTTTCTGGCTTGCTATTCCAGACATTGTCTTTTCAATGATATTAAATATTTGGGCTATGACAGCACAGGTTTTTGCAGTAGAGAAGATATGAAGTCCCAAACAGACAGCTGAATTATTGCTTTACTCATTGTGAAAACAGCAGGATGTGAAGTTTTGAGTAAGTGTCTGTGAAATAATTTCATGAACTGTAATGAAGGAACCAACCCAAATATTTAATAAATGGGCTTATGCTTAAATTATGTTTGAACATGGATAGTCCAGGAAAGTTTTTGAAGGTTTTGGCATGGTGAAACTTTTTTTTTTGTAACATGCTAGTAGGAAATATTATCGCAGCATAGCACTGAATAAATGTACATATTTACTTTCTTTTGCTCAGTTTTACTTTTTAATTGTTGTTGTTTTTCAGGGAGCTGTAGTGAAAATTAACTCCACTCTGTGAGAGTGGAGTGATTTATGAGATGCTTAAACATTCATAGACCTGAATTTTCAGCCTGAGTAAGGGTTCTAAGCTACCAAATGCAATTCAGAGTGGAAAAGTACAGTAGTAACGAGTTACCTCTTGCAAACTGTAAAATCTGATTTCAAGGGACTCTTTCTGGGAGGGCAGAGGAATGAAGGGGAGACGTGGTTGAAGACAGTGCCATGGCTGGGCAACTGTATGCTCAGTGGCTGAACTATAACCTTGTCTCTTGCTGTTTGTGTCTGCGGATAGGCACAGTGGCTGTAGGTGAGGGAAGTTAGAGCCTTGGGTGCACAGTCTGCGGATTCTCTCCTTTCTTAGCTCTGTAGTCATTTATCTTACTTTGTTTCCTTAAACTGTATGTTGCAAAGAAGGGTTTGCCCTGAGGATGTTACTGGAATGGGTCCAAAAATAAAAATGTAATTTGGGGCAAAGAATAATATAAAGGCATTTTAGTTTTGAGGCTTTGAAATGCTTTTTTAAGCATGATTATGATAAGTATGATTATTTTCTCATCTTAATTAATTAAAAAAATTTCTCAGAAATGTTCTCCATGTGGTTTAGGAAATTTCTTCAGTTAATAAAAAATCAGAGTTTGACCAGAAATGACCTAGACTGCGTGG